ACCAACAACAACACAACAACAACAACAACAACAACAACATTAAAACCAACGAAGTATAAAGTTCAATAGAACTAACACATTAAGCTAACAAAACTAAGTTAACGCTTATTACAAGCTCATTCGAAAACTGGTTCTATTGTCTAGTTCAAAGTATATAAAGTACTCAAGGAGTGTTCTTTCAGCATCCTCGTCCGAAAGTTGGATTGCCTCGCCCGACTCATTAGGTGGCTGACTGCGTATGAATTCCTCCACATCAGCTGTGAAGCGAACCTATAAGAAAAATTATATTAAATTAGTATTTCAAAATTTATATAAAAGTAAATAAAAATACTTAATGAAAAGTAAAAAACTTACATGTATAGTCGAGGATCGACCCTCGACCCACCTTTCTAAATCAGTCTCTTTCTTCTTCTTTACAATACGAGTTTCATTGAATATCTCATGATCTTGCTTCATTGGCATCATAAAGCTGTCTGGTGACTTTGGTGATTATCCTCGGGATAAACTTGGATACAGAGAATAACTTGGATACAGTAGCTGACAGGGTGTGTCTTTTGATCAATTGTTGTTCTAGTTAGCGACAATGATGATGAGAAGGCAATGGCATGTGTTTCAAATAGTGATGGTATAGGCAGGAATTTTAACATTTCCTAAGTAGATAAAAGAAAGATTATAGAGGAATTCTCTACTTCATTTTCCAAGAAGAAAAGAAGTTTAATTGATAGTGACAAGGTTGATGGTGATGGAATGTTTACCGTTGGTCGTGGCAGTTCCCATAAAACGGGGATCATAAGACTCTATGATGACAAAGATTATAGGAAGTTTTGTTCTCAACTTTCTTCCAAGTCTGATCCGTACAAGCTTAATGGGATGTTGGTGATATTTCTTCGGATTCAGACAATGATTTGACTGACAAAAGTATGGAAATGCTAATCAAAAGAATTAAAGCTAAAACGTTTTTCTTGGTAGAGAAGGATGCTGAAAAACATTTTACCTTTAGGCAGGGGCGGATTTAGGGGGGGCGGAAGGGGGTTCGCCGAAAAATTACACTGTATATATAAGGCAAAATCTGTTTTTTACCTCTATATATTAAGTTTTGAACCCCCTTAACACAACCCAAAAGTGTAGCTTAGTGGTCAAGGGTGTTCAAAACCTTCCTAAGGTCATAGGTTCAATTTTCACTAGCAACAAATTTTTTTTTTGAACCCCCTTCATGGAGATCCTGCCTCCGGCACTGGTTATAGGACCAGATTTTCTTTAGTTTTATTTATTGTTTTCTCAAAAATAGACCGAACAGGAAATTCTTGCTTCTTCTGAAAGTTGAAGAAGGCAACAATGGGGACAAACCCCTCAATGGCATGTATGAAATTCATAAAGCTAGAAGAATATTCATTTTTATTCAATCTTTTCCCACAGCTCCATCACAAGAACATTGTCGCATTAATTCCTTTTACCTATCATAATGCATCTTTTTGTAAGTAATTGACTTGAGCTAAGTATATAAATACTACAACAACGACAACAATAATAATACTACAATCTCAAACAAGTTAGAATCGATTATGTTGATTCTTATTGTTCATGTCACTTCAGTTAAGCTCATTAGTTCAATATTATTAAAAAATTCGATCGTCTAGCAGTGAATTGAGCTGAGCATGACTTCAAATATAGTCCAAATTAAATGTGTTAGATGTGACATTTGTATCTTAGGAATTCTACCGAGAGTTTTGGTACACAAAAATAAAACCTTTCAAACATGTTGTCCCGCTGTTTTTGTTAGTTTTATTCATCCTGTTGACTTCTTTTGAGGACTTTAGGCCGGTCAATTACTGCAGTCTACTTTGAAAACTTCCTTTCCCTTTTTATTTGATGTGTGTACTTTATAGTATGACTCGGAAAATAGTACTCCCTCCGTTCAATTTCATTCACTTTGGACTTTTCACTCCCCTTTATGAAACAATAAATGAAATATATATTTATTGAAATATTTATTTTACAATTTTACCCATAATAATGATAGCATTTCCAAAAGTCTTGGGAAATGATTTGGGAATGAGCAATTAATGATAACCGTAAGAGAGGGAAAAAAAAGAGATTATCTTTCTCTTGATTTAATATAATGGACAATAAAAGTGAAAATATATTTTTAAAATAATGAACAAGTAAAAGTGAACGGAGGAAGTACTTATTTATTAGTACTTTGTTAATGGATAGGAATTTATAGGGGGGCTGCTATTTTCGTAAATCCTTCGAACTCTCTTGTTTTGGATTATCGAGAAGCCCCTTTCTACTCGCATCCCTATAACCAGCTTTTATTTTGCTTTATTTTTTTGAAAAAATTATGCGACACGTTAAATATATACATTGTAGTTATCATTCATAGCTATACTTTCGGTAAATTTACCATTCGTAGCTATATTTGAGTTTTATAGCAAATCCATGAAACTAGAGATTAATTGTTTTGAACTGAAACAAGAGAGCAACAAGCTCTCGTAGCTTAGTTGGTTAGAGCTAGGGTGGGCATCGGTCGGTTCGGTTCGGTTATGAATATTATCGGTTTAGCATATCGGTTATTGGTTTACAAATTTGATAAACCGGTAATCAAACCGATAAGATATACGTTATCGGGTATCGGTTAATCGGTTATCGATCATTATCGGTTCGGTTATCAGTTTACCCGATAAGATAACTCAATCTAGAGTTAAGCAAAATAGAGAAGACAATTCACTCGAGTTAAGCAAAAAAGAGAACAATTCACGTATAGTATATTACCCATTTCTGTATTCTGTCCAGTGACCACAACTGAAATAGTACTAATTCTTCAACAACAGTTGTCCAAATACATTAATAATAATACAAAGTAGTAGCAATTTCACCTTAAAATTAACAAGTCCAAACATATAGTACTAACAGTTCAAATTCAAGTTAACAAGACAACAACCACTCAATCCTTATAGGCTTCACAAAAAAATCAGTGGATGAATACTCATCAAACTGTAGCAATTCCCACAAAATATTCCAAGGCATTAGGTGCCTCCTCCGATATGATAACAACAATAGTTGATTTAGAATTTTTATTTCACACAATACCTGGACTCCCACAAGCGTTGAAGCCCTCAAACAGTCCAAGATAAACTGGATGTTGTTTGTCAAATGCCTAACCTGAAAAAAGAAACAATAGAGCAATCCTTATATGAAGATGAATTTTGTTATAGAAATTAAAAGCCTAATGTATAAGACTAAAGACTTACGCTAGGAGTAACTAGTAAGGTCTATGAAGAATGAGAATGAAGCAACTGAAGAGTGCGGCTGAGAAAGAATAGGAGAGAATGAACTGAAGCCCTAGCATATGTATATACTTAAGGGTAAAGCCATAATTTATTAATTCTTATTGGGTTATCGGTTAACCCATCAACCAAAATTGGCAAACCGAGGCCCGAACCGGTAACCCAATAGTGAAAAAATTCTGAACCGTTACCGAACCACTAACCCAATAACCCGATACGATAACCCAATAAACAATTAACGATTCGGGTTATCGGTTTTACCCGATATTAGGGGTGTTCATGGTTCGGTTTGGATCGGTTTTTCCCCTAAAAAGAAACCAAACCAAGTAAGTCAGTTTTTCAAATATTAGAACCAAACCAAACCAATTAAGTCGGTTATTTCTCGATTCGGTTTATGTCGGGTTTTGTCGGTTTTTTGGTTTTTTCGGTTATTTGTCAGTTTTTTCTTAAATATAAGACATACACTGCCAAACACATATTTCGGCGACCACATTTTTAACGTAACACTATCAAATCAATTGCCCTTTGAGAAATCTATTATTTACCAAGATATATTGATGATAATTGAATCAAATAGTGATGAATAATTTAAGGACTCAACTAAAAATATATTATTTTTAACACGAAATGGATTCTTACACTTAACAAAAGAAAACTACCAATCAAACTAGAATGTAAAGGTAAAGAACTATATTAAAAGTGCAAACTATTAACATTTACCATAAAATTTTTGAAACTTTGTATAAAAATATACATATATTTAGGTGTAATAATAAATTTGAAATAGCTACTCCTATAGTCGGTTTGGTTCGATTTTTTTTGGTTTTTTTCTGATTAAACACAAAACCAAACTAAATTTGATCGATTTTTAAAATTCAAAACCAAAACCAAACCAAACCAAAAAGTATCGATTTTTTTGGTCGATTTGGTTTGGTTTTCAGTTTGGTTCGATTTTTCGGGTTTTTATGAACACCCCTACCCGATATATACCCAGCCCTAGTTAGAGCATCTGCTTAGTTAGCAACTACAAATTAAAATAGAACTTCCTATTTTTGGTTGAAGACACGCTTACATGCCTAATACCAAAGATCATACTTTTTCCACTTTCAATTGATTTAAATTAGGGAATCATATATTTTAAATCTAATAATTTGTTACGGTTGAATTTTTTATCTAAGGGGCTTACTTTGGTAACATTGCATGCACAATCCTATTTGGTTATAAACTAAAACCAGAAAAAAAAAAAATGGGGCTGGAAATTGCATTTGCCTCTCTTTTCTCTTAGAAAAATCTTTAAAATTTTAAACCAAGTTCTTGGCTTACAGTTTTTGTTTCCAAAACCAAATGGAATAATGCACGTCATTTCCCAAAAACAAGAACAAACAACAATATTTCCCACATAAACGCAGAACCAAAACCAAATCCAAACACCACAAGATTTGAAACCAATATATTTACATAGGTTTCCCTCAACCCGTGGGATTTCTAAAGAAATAGAACTATATTGTCCAAAAGAGGGCGAATCACTATTATGATATATAGACCAATAACGTTTTGACTTTTCCTATACGAGATAAATTATCCTATGTTAATTCAATCCATTATTCCATTTCCAGATGCGCTCAGAAAGCAAAATATACAGTTAACTTGTCCATAAATAAATAACTAGAAGCGACATTTGGCTCTCTGCAATTCAAATAATGTGACTACGAGTTCAGAAGCAGGGGCAGAGCTAGCCCTTCAGATACGGGTTCGGCTAAACCCAATAACTTTTGTCCAATCCCATTTGTCTTAAAAAAATTATTGAATTATACAGAAATTATTAATTTAGAACTCAGTAACTTAAAAGAATTAGAATATTGAATCCATAAGTTTCAAATCCCGACTCTGCCTCTGTTCAAAAGCATGTTAAAATCTTCAGAGGATATCATGTTATATTATAATATAATTAAACTTGAGGGAACACCTCTTCAATTGATCAGAGATACTTCTATTCTTTTGTTCTTTTGGTGGATTTGGGAGGAGGAGAGTGCTTGACTGCAACTGGATTGCGAGACTACAAATTTGTACCACCAAATGAAAATATCAAATTTCATGTTCTCTATTACAGATTATCTTGCAGATATCAGGCATCACAAGGGAACATAATCAAGAAACAGCGTCCAGCCATGTAGATGCAACGATCTGAAGATGGCGCTTTAGTTAGTGATTTAGTTCCCTTCATCCTACAAGAAAAGGAAGAAGAGCTGTAAGATATTTAACAAATTGAACTAAGCAAAACTCAGCAAGGCTAAAGCAGTTAGCCAAGTACAAGAGCAGAAGTTAAGAGTAGAAACAATCAGATTTGATAATGTTTTCATCCAAAACAAACCAATACTACATGAAAATGGACATTGGTGTAACTCAACCCAAAATACTAAATCATGAACTGAGGATTGCCTATAAGGAGACAACAGCCCATCCCTCACCCAATGTGGAACATTTTAACAGTATATAACATTCTTCCTCTTTTTTGATTCTCAAAAGGTGATGTTTTGCTTTTAGCCGCAAAATCAATCAAACAATCGATCAACCATGCCTCAGTCCCCATTAAGTGCTTCAGGCAAAAACACAAAGAATGGAGCATTGAAGATATCCTGAACAACAATGATGAACAAACTGTTCAGTGTGGTGCTTTGAAAACAAAAGAGCCACATAGACCAAGAAAGAAGCCATGTGATAAGTTACGCGTCTTTGGTTTTGATGATGTAACAAAATTCATGAGAGAACCAGATAAGGAACCTGTTACACATTCTCAAGATCTTTAGATCGAAAGGTTCCAATTTGGGATATGTTTCAAATCTCCAGAGTAGAAGGAACAACTGAGGGAACAGGTCCCTACCAATTCCCGAGGTGACTGTACAAGTCAACTCCCCCAGCTGTAAAGTTGACAAACTTCATGAGAAAACCAGATAAGGAACCTGTTACACATTCTCAAGGTCTTAAGATCGAAAGGTTCCAGTTTGGCATATGTTTCAAATCTCCAGAGTTGAAGGAACAGCTGAGGGAACAGGTCCCAACCAGTTCCTGAGGTGACTGTACAAGTCAACTCCCTCGAGCTTTAAAGTTGCTGCCTGCACACGCTACAGTGCAGAAACAGTGCAGCAGTTAACTTTATGGGGAATGCCCTTCACCTAACATGCTTGCATCATCCAAGTGATATCACAAATGAGATATTAACATCAAGCAAAGGTAAAACGAATCACTTGCACATTCAAGAACTGATCGAGCATTCTCTCAAGTGTGTGTCCATCTTGCAAGTGATTCTCAAGGGCATCAAGAACAAAGAACAACATAGCAACGGACCAGCTCCCCATATTGAGTTATTATATGTCCTTATTGCGTTGTATCTTTGTTGAAGTTCTTACTTGAAATTCCTACTTAGCTTACTTAGAAGCATTGTGTAGGAAACCCTTTGCAAATCATGAACCCTTGTGTTTGTGTCTTGGCTAGAGTTAGTCGAGTTGTGAGGGCTTTGTAATAGAGTTATTACAAAGTGGCTTTTAATAGTATTGTTATAAGTTAGTGAGTGATTAAGTCTTTGCAATAGAGTTATTGCAAAGTGGCTTGTAATAGTGTAGTTACAAGTTAGTGAGGGATTAAGAGGTTAATTTCTAGGTTACAATAGGTTGTAATATAAAGATTGCTCAGTAGTGAAGTTGAAATCCTACAAGGGTAGGTCGTGATTTTTAATCCCGTTGAGCTGGGAATTTTCCACGTAAAATTCCTCTGTGTCATTTACTTACTGCAGTGTGCGTGTGTTCTGTTAAACCTAATAGAGAACCTGATTCTCTATAGAGTTTGGTGGACCCTTATATTCTATCAATTGGTATCAGAGCGGGTTCTTTCTAAAAGGTTAACACCTATAAAGGATCTACATGGATGCTCGACCAAACTTCGAGGAAAGTCAATCAACCGACAGACCACCAAGATTTCAGAAAATGGTTTGTAGAAATAGGCATTCCCAAGAAGGGCAGCTTTAGCAGAAACACTAAAGGACACGATTGTTGTCACAAGTGCAGAAAGCCAGGACATTTCATCAAAGATTGTCCTCTCCACAATCAGGACCATTACAAACAAAATGCTGACAAGATGGTTAAGAGGAACCCGGTACCCGACAGAAAGTTCAAGAGAAGAGATGTCGGTGATAATATTGTAACAAGCTCTGGATGCCTGAGGAGATTCCTCTAGTGAATCTGAGTGTGATGATGAACAGGCAGACACCTCCATGATGGCCGTCGAAAGAAAAGCTGTAAAATATGATTCTATATTTGCATTGATGGCGAAGTGTGATGAGGATGAAGAAGATGATGATGATGAGGTAAACTTCTTAGATGTTCAAAGAAATCTAAAGTATTATTCTCCAAAAAAACTTATGTCTTTGGCAAATGTTTTAATTGATGCGTATCATAGTCTTATAAATGATAAAAATGCCTTAACTGTGGAACTAAGAGAAGAAGAACAATCGAGAGAAGATCTAGTAGTTGTGGTGGTAGACTTAGAGGAAACCATTGAGAGTCTAAAGAAAGAAAAAGATGCCTTAACTGAAAAAATTGCAATCATAGGACATGAGAGAGATGATCTAGTGGTTGTTGTGGTCAATCTAAAAGAGACAATTGAGTGTGTTAGAAAGGAGAAAGAGGTTTTAACTGAGAAGGTTGCTAACATTGAGCATGAGAGAGATGACCTATTAGTGGTGGTTGTAGACCTAAAGGAAACAATTGAGGAACTAAAAAGGGAAAGTAGGCCTGGAAACACTCAAAGAGGAAAGGAAGTTGTAAGTGAAGCACACCTTAGACTTGAAGATGAGTTAAAATCAGTGAAATCTAGTCTGTGTGCAGAGCTTGAGAAAAACAGACAACTTCAGGAAGACCTAGGAAAAGTGAAGAGTGACCTAGAAAAATCACTTAAGTGGACCTGGTCCTCTGATGCAATCACTGCTATGTATACAAACAGTGGGGGAAACAGGCAGGGAATCGGGTTCCCAGGGGAAAAAACTCCCTACAACCCTCATAGCAAGTACGCTATTGTACCTGACAATTGGCTTTGCACTCATTGTGGCAATACTGGGCACTTTAAGGAAACCTGTAAGGCCAGATTCCAATCTCAACAGAAAAACAAAATCTTTGCTGAAAAAGTAACTACTGCTAGGGAACCTGGTCCTTCACATAAAAAACGTACAATGCCTGCTTGGACCAAAAGAGCCCTAATTCACCCCTTTCCTCATTACAAGGGACCCAAAATCTAACTCCTAATTTTCTTGTGCAGGGAACAGTGAAAGGGAGCAGCCTGCACTGGTACATGGATAGCGGCTGCTCAAAGCATATGACTAGAAGTACAAACGATTTCCTTTCACTTAAGGCCCTGCATGGAGAGAGTGTACCCTTTGGAAATAGCTAAAAGGGGTACACTCTAGGAGTTGAAAGGATTGGGAAGTCGCTCACTCACTCAATTGAGAACGTGTACTATGTCAATGGCCTGAAGTACAGTCTTAAGTGTTTCTCAGATATGTGACAAGGGAAATAAAGTGGAATTCTTGTCCAAGATATGCATAGTCACAGATCTTGTGACTGGTGAGATGGTGCTTGTGGCCAAAAGGTACAAGAATGTGCTGATTTTAAGTCTCTGCATGGTGGTGATCTAACATGCCTAAGTGTCATTGATGATGATGCTGAATTAAGGTGAATATGACTGGGGCATGTGAGTTTTTATTTGTGGAACAAGTTGGTTATGGAGGACCTGGTTCATGGGCTGAAGCCGTCAACACTGCCTGCTACTTAATTAACAAGTGCATGATCAGATCCCTTCTCGAGAAGTCTCTCTATGAACTGCTCAATGGGAGAAAAGCCAAGCTAACTTACCCGAGAGCCTTTGGATGCAAAATGTTTTGTTCTCAACTATGGTGGCAAAGGGTCACATAACAAAGAAGATGAAGATGGAAAATTTACATATGCTCCTGGTGAAGCTATAGATATTGCAAATGGAAAGACTGATTTGATGAGTCTAAGTGAAGAAGAGCGATGAAGGAGATGCAGTAGAAACTCCAAAAGGCACAGAGGAACCTGGTCCCTCTATCACCTCGACTGAAGCTGAACATAGGGTTTCTGATGTTGCATCAGACACTCCTGATGCAGAACAAAGAAGTGGAAGTCATAATTCTGTTAATGTCAATGATGTTTCAAATATGGAGGAACCTGGTCCTTCAAATTCTGAAGTTTAAGTACTTCAAGGAGCTGCTGAAAAGATTCGAGATGGAGAATGCTAAGACCATAGATACACCTATTGCCACTACTACTCGTTTAGACATGGACGAACCTGGTTCTCCTGTCAATGAAACTATGTATAGGGGTATCATTGGATTTCTTCTGTACTTGATAGTTAGCAAACTTGATATTGTTTTTAGGGTTGGGCTGTGTTCTGGGTTTCCAGTCAAGCCCAAAAGAATCTCACTTGAAGGCTGCCAAAAGAAGTTTGAGGTATCCTAAGGGAATGTAGGACCTGGTCATTTTCTATCCTTCAGGAGATAATTTTGACTTGGTTGGATATGTTGATACGAACATGTTGGATATCTGGTGGATCGAAAGAGAACATCTGAAATGCCACATTTTCTAGGGTCATACTTGATCTCATAAGGCACAAAGAAATAAAACCATGTGGCTCTTTCTACTATTGAATGAATATGTGGATGTTGCCTCTTGTTGTGCTCAACTGCTGTAGATCAAGCAACAACTAGAAGATTTGGGTGTCTACAGATTCTATGCCATTGTTGTGTGATAATTCAAGTGCTCTAAACATTGCAAAGAACCCTGTACAACACAAGGAGACAAATCACAGTGATGTGCGATATTACCTTTTAAAGGGCTTATTTGTACAAAAATTTGCAAGAAGGAGGATCAGGTAACATATATCTTCACCAAAGAAAACACTTTGAAAGAGGTCGTCTAGAGTTGGGGTTGATCAAGCTCAACTAAGGATCTGGTCCCTTGATGATTGGCCATATAAAGAAGGAAAGGTACAATGCTAAAAGTGTTTTTCTGGTGGCATCTAAATCAATTCCATACCGTTACAGGTATACACACATAGCAGTTTCAGGAAAAAACAAGTATGAGTGACATTGCATTTCTAGGAGTTTTTGCTCAAATTTTCAAAAACCGTCAAGGAACCTAGTTTATGTGACTCAGGTTAG